TTTTTATAATATATAAATGATAATTAAAAATTTTTAATAGCTCTTATTAGGTAGTCTTATTTGATAAAAAAACTCAATTATTATTAATATACCATTAAAAAATATTGCCTAAAAATATATCTAAAAAAGTTAAACGTTTTATATTTTAAACTAGGTGCATATATTTTCTTAAATATATACACAAGAAAGAATATTTTTTCTTATTAAGAAGGTAGATTTTTTTAAATCTAATTTTTTTTTTTACATTTTCCCTTTAATTACATAAAATGTAAGTAAGAATATCACTTTTACTTTTAAATACAAATTAATTAAAAAATATACAAGAGAAAAAAAATGATGGATAAGATATGGGAAATTAAAGTATATGTCATGAATATTACATTAATTAAACTACGTGGTTTAAGTATAATAAAGCCAATGCAATAGAAGACATGAAGCAAAGAAATTAACAACAAAAGTAAACAGTACTCTCATAAATAACGTGATTGTAGGAAAATCAGGAACCTGGCGTGTTTATGGTGCTTGGGCTTTTACAATGTCTAGGATTATTTCACTAGGATCGATTGCCTGTAGGCTGCAACTCGCACTTGCTATTTTACCCCTTAATCAAAAAATTGCTATTTTACTCCCTTAATCACCAACTAATTTATAGTATATTTGGGTTGAAGGGAATGAAGAGGAGATGAGGAAAGGAGAAAGTTTTTTAATCAATCAAATTATAACGTTTTTAAAACATTATAATTTGATTAGTTAAAAAATAGTTTCCTTCTCTCCCCTCCGTTTCCCTCAACTCAAATAAATGGTTAAACATTCCTTTAACGACATTTTGTTATTTTCAATATTGATGAAAAATGCTCATTGTCTTCTAAATTATTAGTATCTCATTGATCACATGATGATTTCCTTTTTTTAGTGCATAAGATGATTGATTATATGAGAGTATATAGCACTTCACTTTTCTCAAATTCCCTACTTAATTTAAAATTTGAATTCAAAATTTCAAATTATTAATCAATTGAGGCATAAAAATAAGGATTAGTTGGTGACATTTAGGGGCATAAGTAGTTCATTCCTTCTTCTTTTTTTTTCTTTTTTTTTTTTTTGTGGCAAATTGATAATTTTTTTTAAAATTTCAAATTATCAACCAATTGAGGCATAAAAAGAAGGGTTAGTTGGTGACATTTAGGGGCATAAGTAGTTCATTCCTTCTTCTTTTTTTTTCTTTTTTTTTTTTTTGTGGCAAATTGATAATTTTTTTTAGTCTAAAATTAAAATTTCTTTTTCTAAATGATATTTTATGATTTGTTTAGTATCCTTGTAGAAAATTTTTTATTTTGAAGATTAAAAACAGCAGTTTGGTAAGTTGCAAAAACTAGATTAACAATTTTCAAATAAGAGAATGCACTTTTTCAATGTTATACTTTTTCAATGTTAAAATATAAATAACTGAAAAAAAAAAATTATTAAGCTAACCTTATGATAATAATATAATATAGGTAACTGAAAAATAAAACTTTTGATAGAAGAGAAGGTAAGATCATAGTCGAATAATTTCTCAACAAAGACAATTTAAATGAATATTACAATATATGCAAATTATATATATAATACTACTCTGTATTAAATAGGGTATATATTTATATATATAATAACAAAAAATATATAATAATTTTAGTTCTATTATATATATATATA